TCTCCCATCCCTGCTCTCCCATCCCTGCTCTCCCATCCCTGCTCTCCCATCCCTGCTCTCCCATCCCTGCTCTCCCATCCCTGCTCTCCCATCCCTAATCCCCACGTAAGGAGGCAGGAGCCATGCAGGCATCTGTCGCGGACCACTGGCCTGCAAGTTCTCGTTGGCTGGTTTAGTGGGCACTGCCGCCAGGTGTCTGGTGCTGGTTCTGGTTGTGGTTTTGCCTGTGCTCCTCTGTCTTTGGCTGGGGGGGGGGGGTGTGCTGATAGATGCCCGTGTCCATCAATTTTGAAATCGCCATGCTTGATTTTTTTTGATGTGCAGCATGTGTTTTCACTCCTTCCTGCTTTTTGTGATCCAGTATTGGTTTCGGCAGAAGGTTGCTTGCCAAAAAGCATCAGGCGCTCGCTGGGAAATGCGCTGGTGTTCACGAGACACGTTCTGAAAGGTAATCTAGTTCCTCCACAAAGCCTGCCGATGACGTCAGCGACGCAGCTGTTAGGAGAGAGGAGGAAGTCTGGCCGGCGGTGACCAGGACGGAGCCTCTCGGCAGACAATGTCCCCCTTTTGTTTTTGCCCCCAGGGCGCTGGCTGTCCGTGCTGTCAGGACTCTTATGAAACTCCCCGGGTATAAAAGCTGGCCTGTTTGGAGTGCCGAGCGACTTTAATGTGCAGATTTGCATGTGTCACGTCGCTCTCTGGCTGATGAACAGTTTCTCCCAGGCAATGTGAGGAGGAGTGGACGGCCCCCTTGATTGAGAGCCTCGCTTTCAGTTGGCTGTCTTCAATTTGATTGGCTGCTGCTAGTGGCAGGTTGTTTGTCGGATTGTGAGAAAATCTCCATGTTGTCCAGACTGTCCAGAGTGCCTGTTTTTGTTTATGTGATCATTTTATTATACCTTTGCCTTCTCATGGAAGAAAGTTGAGGGAGCAGCTTTCTCACCCTGTTGGCCGTGTGGACACCTTCTGAGATGTGTGGTAAAGCCCATGTCATGGCAGTCGCCTTCCGATATAGCCATGCTATAATTTCTATGGTGTGGTTATTATTTTGATGCAGTTCAAACAGAGCAGAATAAGGGCTTCAAGGGGTTGAGCCCTGCTGTTTTCTTTTTAGCAGAATAACTACTGGAAGGTAGAAGTGGAGAGGAGCCACATGAACTCCAGTCACACACATACGCATGTGTGAAGGCCGCCTAAGATCACCAGCAGACCTTTAGAGCTTTGTTAGTGGCCAGGGACCTTTGATCGGAATTGAAGCAATGTAGTGCTGAACAGCCATGTTGGACTGGAGTTTCACCCGCTGTGCAAATGAAGTGTCTCTTCTAACCGACCTCCGTTTTTTGATGAGCAGGAGATCTCATGTAGACACATCCGTTAATGACATTTGGCCCTAAGGCTGTGTGCTTGTTTAACAGCCGTATTTGGTTTCACTGTTACTCAAACAGTGCTGAAATTGCCTCTGGAGCGGCTCCTAGCCCCAGATTACAGGTGAAAACCTTCCACCTCATTTTCAGATCATGATCATTCATCATTTTCTGTTATCTTAGTTGAACCTACTGAATTGACAGCAGTGGTTCTGACCTGCTGTGGTTGTAAACACCTCAAAACACCTGTGTACAGAGAACAGGAGAGTAGCACCTGAACTGTCTTGCACGCATCGCATAGATGCTCATTGGCCGTGGTATCTCTACCTAGCATAGGCAGTGATGCTCCTGGATCCTGAATGACAGGTATGACTGTGCTTTGGTCTTCTCTTGGTCCTCTTCCCTTAAATGAAGTGTAAGAGAAATAGGCGCAGCTTTTCAAATGAAGTGGCAGCCAGATCATGTAGCATCTCAGACCCCACAAATCCATAAGCGGGTATCATTGACATTTGACAGAGCGATAGCATACGACGTCATGGAGGTTGGCGCACCCTAATGCGGGGCTCAGTTACACCTCAGTTTCCCTGGGACTTTCTAGAGCCAGTGCATTTGGTGCTTCGCCTGTAGGGTGACTTCATTAATGCAAGCCCACTATGCTGCAGCGGTGAGGGTGCAGTCTGTCACATTGGTGGAAAAATATTCGCTGTAACCGTGACGACATGAGACTGCACCTGATATCGGTGGGTCTCACCCCTGAACCTTTCCAGCAGACTGTGTAAATGTCATATTGATGCTACCTACCTCTCAAATATGCTGGTCTTGTGCAGCTCAGATTAATTTCTCTCTAATACTAATTTTCACAAGAATCTTAGTTTTTGGGGTTTTTTTTTATTATTATTATTTTTTCAACTCAGATACCCATAGTCCCTGGCTGCCTATGTGTGTTCTTTTACGGCTGCAATGACAAGGATAACTCAGTTTTTCCACCTTCCATCAAAGACACAGTAGAGAGAGCTGGGGGACTCTTGCACGACTTAGAAACCCGAAGTTTTCCTCTAAAGTAGACCGTTAACCCTGTCCTGTCCACCCCTTTGCCTTTTAAGTAGTCTCAATGGGAGAATTTGATGTGTTTATAGCTGCAAAAGCTGCAGGGCCAGACTTCCTGGCGGTGCCTTAAATCTCTCGTGCGTCCTTCGGCTCCTTTTGTCCACGGCTTATCTGGTGTCTGCATCTTCTAAGCGCTACAGATGAGCCGCAAACAAACTCTGTGAGCGAGCAGCCAATTTCCCGTCAGTCTTTTAGCTGTTGCTCATTCAGTGCCCTGGAGATGAAGCTGTGATACTTCGTAAAAAGTACCGCTCAATTCGGCAACAGTGCAGATGGTGTGATCTCCGTCCTTGCAGCAAAATTAAGTCTGCCATCATTTACAACTCACCTTCGGCTCGACTTCGGTGACACCTGGTGTTTTGGTGATACATTAATCCCGCACAGCCCAAAGTGAGAAGGAGGTTCCCTTTCCCTGGAGGGTACCGATTGGTCGTTTTTTGACAGCGGGGTTTCTCGCTCCCCCATGACTCAGCCGCACACGGAACTACCTGGCAGGCAACTCGAAGTGGCTCGGGTCAAGCTGCACCCTTGGCAATGATAAGTGAGGACGATATCAGCAGATGGCTCCCATTTGATATTTTTGTAGCCCTGCCTTTTCGCTGAACCCAGCCCTGGATGGCATCCTTACTCCCATGAGTTTGCCACTTGCTCAGGACCATGTGTGTCAATCCTGCCCATTTCCCCTTTTGCAGAGGCTCCCTTTGGGATCGGGATGGGACCGGGCCTGTGGCCCACCAGAGAGGAACGCCACACTCTGCTCCAGCAGCAGTGCCTGTGCCCGTGAGGACCACGTGCCATTGCCCACCGAAGGTGAGTCTTTCCTCCTGCTGCGCCTCAGGACTGAGGCAGGCAGAATGCCGATAGGTCATACTTTCACATGGCGCATGGGGAGCTCTTGAATTATGGCCTTGCAGATGTGGTTGGTCAGTGGGGTCTTTGTTGGTGAATCGGTTGTGGTGTGTGGATGAACCACGCTGGATGGTGGTTCAGATTATACCAGTTTGTTTGCAGACTTTTACCTTGCCCCTCACACTCTTCACGGGACAGTAGTCACTGCTGTGGGTACCCTTCCTTCCTCATCTAAATGGCTTTTGTTCAGAGCCGGCTCCCTCTCTGTCTCTCTCCATTTGTTTTAAGTTGGGTTTTACATCAATAAAACCTGTGGGACCCCCTAGATAGGAGTAGTTAAGCTCATCCATGCAGACTCGCTCTTCTGGGAACCTTGGGTATTTGCTGACAGTTGGGTATTATGGTTGCGTTGACTGGGCCGCAAGGCCCTGTGGGACAGGGATTGAGACCCTGGCCTGACCTTTACTCTCGGGGCTCCTGATATAGACCAACCAGTGACTGTCAGTGTGGGGGCTCGTGCTCAGCTGCAGGGGAAACACGTGCCATTTGGTCCGTCAAAGGCCTTCGGACAGATACTCTGAGCTTTGTACTTGATTGATGGCTTCCTTCATATTGGGTGGGTAGGAGATACCGATAATGCTGAACTATACATGACTTCATTAAAACTCCTCAAGTTGCAGAAGATATATGTGGAAAGGAGGTCTGACCTCAGGTATCAATGCTGCCTGATCAGATGGACTGGATCCTTGAATTGCTGCCAAGTTCATATGAGCTAGTCGGAACAGGGCTTGAAGGGTTCTGGTCCTGAAAGGAGAGTGAGCATCTGTGGGTTCTGAAATTACTCTGCGATCGTCAGAGGTCAGATATTGTGTGTCTACAGGACGCCCATATCAGACCAGGTGGGAGCCAGGAACCTTCCAATGAACGCGCCATGGCAACGACAATGATCACAGCAGTGGCGATTAGCAGATCATCGGATTTGATTTACAAGAGACAAAGCCACCCCCCACAATATGATAAAAACTATCCCTGATCTGACCTGGTTGTGTCAGGCCACATGAGACTAAGTTATTGAAGATGCCCTTGTGTAAATGTGAATTTTGTGTTGTTGCCTGGGGGTTGTGTATTTTGATTTGGTGTTTTAATAAAGCGAATAACGAAGTAATGGAAATGTAACAGTGCTTTGACACGGAGTTTAGAGGTGAGGTAAATAGCTTTGTGGCGATCGTTGTAGCGTTTCACCACTTACGCTGTAATTTCCACCTTGTGAGGCAGGTTGCTAAAATTAGATACATTCTGAAAAACACTGTGATAAGAGTTTGTCAATTTCACAATGCTATCTCATCTTTCCTGTTGTCTTCCCTCTCTCTCTCTCTCATGCTCTCCTTTTTTCCCTCTGTCATTCTCCTTTTCTCTCTCTCTGCTAGACTCGCTGAGGAGTCTGAATAGAATTCATCCTTTTTAAGTGCAGCGAGTCCTGCCAGTGAGTCACAGCAAAGCTTCATTTAGCTTTGAACCCCGAGTCAATTCCCTTTCACATCTGACTGACTTTTGTTCCCACTTCCACAAAGCCTGACTCCTACATATTACGCTTTTCTTGTTGTTAAGTCAGCCGGAAAAGCTGGCAAAAAAGACCTTCCCGCCTGGGTTTGGGGCAGGCAGTTTGTGCAGCATGGTACAGATTCCTCTGACTCTCCTTCACTTGCTTTTTAAATATTTTGTGTTAAGGTTGTAGTTGGGCGGCGTGGTGGATTAGTGGACACTGTTGCTTCATGCCTCCTGTGTGTTTGTGTGTGTATGTGTGGAAAGCTCTCTCCAAGCCCCCGTGCCTGTTAGATGGCATTGGTCGCCTGTCCGTAAGCATGTTCTCCCCATGTTCATGTGGACTGCCTCTGGGTACCCCGTCTCCCTTACAGGGCACATTACAGTGGGTGGGTCAGTAAGAATATGCTCTGACATGGACTGTGTGGGCTGTCTAAGGGTCCTGCCCAATCTGTACCCTGCTGATAACCTAAGCACATACGGTTTTGCCTTGACCGGTGAGCTGCTTAATAATAATGGATGGATGAGAGTTGTAGAAGTTCTCCACTGCCCATAACCATGCTTTCTCCTGCATTGGTGTCAGTATTTCTTAGTGGGCTTAAACCAGGTCTTGTATGTCTATTCAGTACTGTCTTGATGTGACCTAGACCCAGAGTAAATCCGAATGCCTTGCATGTTTGTTGTTTTGCACGTATTTCACAGATGCTTCCAATTTGATTGCTTCCTGATTGAGTGTTTCTGAATTTGTGTGAGACTCACGTGTCACATCGGCAGCCCGTTGGCTTCGGCTTCTGTGTCTTCCGGCCCTTGGCAGCGTGACAGCCCTGAGGGCCAATGAGGCCCCGCCCAAAGCCCCCACCTGCTGTTTTTTTTAATTTGGATATTTGTAACACCAACCCCCAGCTTGTCCTGCTGTATCAGTGCATTAAAAGGATAATTATCCTGTTCCCCACCCCCAACCCCAGCTTACTGACTGCTACCAGCATTGCAACGTCCTTCTAATGATCTGCAGATCAATAATATATCTGTGTGCGCAGCAGACTAGAGACTGATTGTCTGCCCAGTAGTGATGATGCATATGTTGCCTTTTGAAGTCATGATGTCATTGATTGAAATTACACATTGTTAGTAATCCATTAATTTCTAGGAAAGCATTTACAGTGTGCATTAAGCGTTATGATGGAGAATGTCTACATCAGATTAATCTGTATTTTCCGTTTTGTGTATATTAGGATACTCACATCTCCTTTTTCATCCAGGTGATTTATGGGCTGTGTAAAATGTCAAGCCCTATGAAATATATTTAACTGCTTTCCATTTTTCTTTATTTCTGGTTTAATGTATTTTCTTTGGGTTTTTAATGCTGGGGTTTTGGTTTTCTTGCTGCCTCAGTAAAAGTAGAGCTACCGACGTCGAATGCTAATATAGTGGTGCAGCGGCTAGCACTGCTGCCGCATGCCTCCAGGGTTATGGGTTCGAATCCTCGCTTATCGTCGTATGCGTTAAGCGAGTTTCCTGTGGTTACTCCAGTTTCATTCATCAGCCCAAAGTTGTGCAGTTTTGTGCCTCTACGTTTCCTGAAGTGTATATGCCCTGCGATGAACGTGCACCCCATCCAGGTTGCACCCCTGCTATACTGCGAGGGTGGCTCAGGAGGTGGGGGTGACGGTCAGCATGGCTGGCCTGAGTCTCTACAAACGTGCCTGTGTGTGTTTCCCACAGAATGTACATGGAATCAGGACATGACATCAGAACCAGTTCAAAAGGAGTGTGTATTTCTATGAATGGATGTAAATGCTCTGTATATTGTAACATATACCCATCTCTCTTGTAAAAGCATCTATCCAGTACAGGCCTGCGGAAGCTTAGGACTCACACAGGAATCACAGATGTCAATCTTTTATTTTTTTTAAAGCACACACTCAGTATTTTGCAGGTTGACACGGTCACAGCTGAGCCCTACCCAAAATATTTAGGTGAATTTTTAATATTTTGTTTCATTGGTGGCCATTGAAGGTTCCGCTCTGGTCAAATTGTTTTAACATTTATTCTGCTCTTGAGTGTTTTTTGACTTTTATTGAAGTGGGAGACCAGTAGGCTGTGCAAGCACTTATATAATGTGTCCATTCAGGCAGCACTCAGTGGCTGGATGCAGCCTGACCAGTTTAACCCTTAGGGAGCCAGTAAAACTCCAGTTCTCCATACCCTCCTCACTGGAGCCTGTGGAAGCACTTAAGCACCGGGAAACTGCTTCTGCTGTCCGGCGGATACGATGTTCCCATCTGGAGTGGCTGGGGGCTCTGCGCACTTTACCATGTCATTAAGAGCAGTAGTATCAGTAGACCTGTGTGTGCAGCCCATCTTCCAAGCCTCAAGTAATCACCACTCTGCTGGCTGATTATGACCTTGTTTTTTAAATGGTCTTGATTACCTTGATGATCTTATTGTTTTCATGCATGCTTCTGTTTCCTCTGTCCGGTCTGGAAGCTGCTGTCTGTTAAACCTCGCCATCGTCTGCACGCGTGCAAAAAGAGCCGACTCCAATGTCTTCTGGATGAATTGCCATGTGACCCTGTGACACCAGCCTGCGTTCCTCCTTCGAGATTCAGGAATTACAGAATGGGCCGCACAGCGGAGATGGAGGGAGGGGGAGAGAGGGCTGTAATTACATGCCATGTCATCTTTATGGTCAGGCTGGGGCATTTGGAAACATCGGCAACAGATGCATTTTGTGCAGCCCCCAGGCGTAAGCCGTTTTGGGGGGGTGGGGGGCGGGTGCAGAACGCTGGCTAACGGCCAGAGCTCATCTGAGATTACAGACTGTAATCTTTTGTCAAATTACGAGACTGGAATTTTGATCAGCGACGGTCGTGTTTGAATAGGTGGTTCTGTTCTCGTGGATACCGCGGCACACATGTCGGTGCTGAAAGGGCCTCATTGATGCACCCAACGCACAGACGCCAATGTGCGAATGCGGGCGAATGCGGGCACACACACGTACATACGCAGATCCCTGGGCCCCCCTGTGGCATATAGCAAATCTCAAGAGGGGGGATCTTTCAGCGGTTCTGTGTTCCCCACTTGGCATAGACCCATCAGATTGCTTCATCAGTTATAGAATTGCTGGGGGGGGGCTAAGGGGAATTGGTGAAGGGAAAAGTCTACAGGGATACCCCCGCCCCCCCCCACCACCACCACCATTAACCTCTACACTCCTCCGTTGGATCCGTGTTTGTCCTCAGGGTATCTCTGTATGTCTCCGCAGACAACATCCACATTTTTGGTAATAAACCAGCTTCTCTCAGAGTTAATTTAACACCATGTCTCCAAGTGCTTTTGCACACTTTCCTGGTGCTTGCGAGAATTACACACGTGTTCCTGGAAATTCTCGCACGTTCGCTTTTTACGAACATCAGCAT